TGTATGCCCTAAAAACTGAATAATTAGTGATATAAAATGTTATTTATCTACGTAGTAGGAAAACTAACTGTCATTTCATAATTCTTCTAGTTTTCTACGCTTAGGGAAAATTTATCTTCAGCAGTACGACAATACTACTCCTGTAGCTCTTCTATAGTTACTTCCGGTCCCATGCCCGGGTAAAAGAGGAGGGTTGGGCATGAGGTTAGCGACCCCATCCCGTAGAAAAAATAACTCGCTAAAAAAACGCAAACCAGAAAAATAATTCAAACCATTTAAACTCTGCCCTGGGAGTTGAAGGGATAATTATGACGCCTTATGATAAAAGCCGAAATTCTTCGGAAGTCACGAGGCCGATGCACCTTCTAACAACCAGAGCAACACTTTTTATAGCTTCAAGAAGCAGATATGAAGAGGATGAATAACAACTGGAAAAAACTGAAAAGGATTGTCCAGGACAGATTTAGATGGAGAATGCTGGTGAGCGGTCTATGCTCCTCGATGTGGGGTACCAGGCCTTTGAACCAGTGAACAGTACGACAATGTGTTTAGATGAATTATAAAATGAGTTTCACTGAAAACTCTCCAAGAAAAAAGTGATATGAATTTTTCTTAAACAAGGCAAAAGTTAAAAAAACCCCTGCAAATCTATCAATTAAAGCATCAATTTTCTCTACTGATTTATATCTTTGTGAGGACTTAGTTAATGTAAAGTGTCAGTTTTATTATCACAATAATATACATGTACTATAATTATCTACAAAATTATAATGCAACATAACTATTTCGTCATTTAAAAAAACTAAATACAAACTAATTATTCTCATTTTAAGATAAAAAAAAAATTTATAGATGTACAAATCCGTTAGTAACTACAGGTGTTTCTTCAATTTTTTTTAAATATTTTACACAAATCTCTCAGTTACTAATGTTAGTGAAATTACTAACAACTAACAAAGGGGAGTTTTGAGAATCGATTTATAAACTCTTAAATCTAAACCAAATATATTTCATAGCTCGTATTTTGGAAATAAAAAAAATTTTTTTAAAAATTTCGTTTGGTCAGTTCTATCAATGTCGTTGATTTTCATTCCTTTAGTACTTTTGAAAGACTTCAACGGTTGGTGCATATATATATTTTAGTTACCTATTTTATTGTAATTAAGTTTATTATTGGATTTTTCTATCTTTTTTAATTTTGTCTTATTTTTGTTTTATATAGTTTAGATCATGAGTAAATGGAAGCTAGACCACCGTGGTAAACCTGCAAGCACTGGACGGCTCACTAGTGACTGACTACATGAGGTATTTCCTGGAGTTCCAGTGAGAAGCAGAAACCAGTGTTCAACCAGGTCTGTTGGGAAATATCAACCCACTGAAGAAAATGGTGAATGGTTGCTCAATTTAGTGGATTGGTTGATGTTTGATATTAGCATCTTTGGATCCGGGCTAAGTGGTCTATCGGTTAAGTGCTATAGCTCGAGACTGGTAGGTCCTGGGTTCGAATTTCGCGAGTGCGGGATCGTGGATGCGCATTTCTGAGGAGTCCCACAATAGGACAAAACGGTTGTCCAGTGCTTCCAGGTTTTCAATGGTGATCTAGCTTCAATTGGCTCATCATCTCAACTATATAAAATTACCAAAATCTGCACAAAACCTGATATTTTTGTTTTCTTTGTAAGAAAAAGCAAAACAAAAATGTTTCATTCACATATATATTGACTATAACATTTTTATTGATTCCAAAAAAAATAATTTTTTTTCAAAAATATTATTTTATTTTTTGTTTTTTTTCTTGTTTTTTTCTTCATTCAATCTTTATATTCCCCCACCCCTTTATATCATTTGACATCAGAATATTATAAATAAATAACAATAATCTAGGGTAATGTAAATCAATTTTCTTTTATGAAATCATTCGAAAAAATTGACAAATTACCCAACTTAGTTTTGTTTTCATTATTTGACAATGAATTTTACTGTTCATATAATAATGTTAGAAAGAACATTTATATAAATGGGTATATATTCCAGCTTTACAGTACAGTTTAAGAAAGAGGTCTATTCATGGAAGGACTAGATATTCTACAATCGTTTTTCATAATATGTGCTATATTGATTAGTAAATGTTTTTAGTTTAATTCAAATGAATGAGTTAGAGTTCAATAGGAAACTTTTGGTTAAATATATTTTCTACAACCAAATCATATCAGCTATAAACTATTGTTACTTATAGATAACTTAATATTCATCTGATATGAGTTTGAGACTCAATGATACACAACCGCGACAACACACACACACGCTGTCTAACACCAAAAAAGTCCATATAAGGAGAATGAGGACAACATAATAGTTTGACACATGATGTAAAGCATATAATCGTCTTATGGAGCAATTCTATTTGACGAATAATCTACCTACCTTCTAACGAACAAATCAAATTATACAATGTATCATGGTAAATTATAACTGTTTTCAAATTGGAAGTTCAATATTATATGGATATCATTACCTGTTTATTAAATGTCTTTATATGTTAACTAAAATTGCTTTGACAGTGAATTTTTTATTAAAAAAACTCTGGCACAATGAAATAGTGTCGTGAATTTCTTTTTATTTCTGACTTATGAAACTGTTATCGTTTAATTGTAGTTTATATGTTAAGACCATATACTTTATTCTAGCTACTGGCCAAGCCAATTAACCTGTCCATTATTAGTTATATTTTGATCCTGTTAATTATTTGCTTATTAACATTGACTATATTTTTATATGAGTGTATATGTGTGCACACTTCGTATCCTATTCATCATATGTCTATCATTTATTTTTGTCTGATTATAAATATTGAGTAATGCTTGCTCATAGCGAGTTGGCTTCTCTGCCATCTCAAATACGCATCACTTTTGTTTCACTCTGGAGTTGGCTTCACAGCCATCTCCAGTATGCATCATCTTTGCTTCGCTCGTTTACACTTGCTCATGTGTCCACAGCTTTCTGGTCTGCATCATTTATCAATAAAAATGTAGTTGCCGCTTCCTTTTGCCTTCTGATTTTATACACCGTTAAAACTGGTATAAAAGCGGTTATCGAAGTGAACTATTATTGAGGCACGGTACTGCAAAATTACTCATTTTTCCCTCATATACTGTGCATCATTCTTTGCTATATACACTAGAAATTATTTCTTAAATCAAACGTTTCTTTGTATCCTTTTTAATTGAAAAATTATATCACAAACAGGCAACCACTGAAAATCAAGGAGAACCAGACAATAGTTTCATCCTATTCTTAAGTACTGACGATCTCACACAAATAACAAAATGAAAATTTTTATGTCATGTGGAGATTGTACTTTCTGAGCAGTCATCATACTGTTGAAGTTCTGTCATTTTGAGATATTGGTCCTTCGTTTTTAATGATTGCCTAGATAAAATTAGTTCGTGCCTATAATAAACTGACCAATAAACCGTAAAGTTATAAATCTATCTTGTAACATTACGAGAACTAGATAAGTTTTCTTTGTATAACTACTAGTCTTAACGGAGAAAAGTAATATTTAGACATTACCATACGATTTGTTAAAATTTACTTTCATATTAGATAGTCAAGATTCCCATTATGTGCGGTGAAGTAATAGTGATTAACTAAATACTTTCAATTAGAATTTTGTGATAAAATGAACTTGAGACGGTCAGAGCTATATTGTGACAACTTATTATTGTATATCTAAAATATATATTGAGTGAACAATATCTATTATTGGGAGACTTCATTTTTATGGTTCGCTTGATATAACTCTTTTGCAGAGCACCTGTTAGTAAACTCGGCTTTGAGTCACACTGTTTCTATGTTAGTAACAATTGACCTATCTGGCTATTCAGGTAATAGTGTGATGTAACCTGAATCACAAACAAGTAGTTGAAAGCTACCTACCTTAACTACTAATGAAAAGAACTAATAATATCCAGAACGTCAATTAGTCCATCGTATATCCTAAATTTTAGATTTCTTTACTGTGATCCTTTACTAATTCATCTCAGTGTAAGCTTAATACTTTGATGTGCTTGCTAATCGATAGATGATAATCTTAATCTCATCACACAATTAAAACATTCCATTTATTTATTTCCCATAAGTTTATCCCAACATTAATGGCAATTATATTGTGTACGTTTTCCTAACCTAAAAATTGTTGGCTTTTTCTATATTTGTAGTTCTTCAATACTTTGTTTTTCTGTCTGACTTTTCAAAGCTATGCTTCTTTAATAAATAACATATATGAGTGAGTACTATCCAAGTAGGATATTGAAAAAAATTAAAAAAAAATTGTTCTGTGATCGATAATTAATTTGAAGAAACCGTTATCTTAGTTGTTGTTTTTTTCTTGAAAATCATCCCGTCTGAAAAAAATTTCTATTCTCCAGTTTTTTTTTATTTATTTTCCTAATTCTTAATTATATATGAATAGATTAAATAACTTTTTGCTACCAAGGTGGGATGGACAGATGTGAAAACATAAAAAAATTTTTAGTCATAATTAAAAAGATTTCTGTAGAAAATAAAGTGCTACAGTCTGTGTACGTGTGTGTGTGTGTGTCGTGCTCCCATACAGAGATTCGATTCTATATATAATCAGTCTTTGAAGAAAATGATCAAGATTATAAAAAATATTACAATTATGATGGTAAATATGATATCTGCTAAAGGATTAGACACAACATTATCCTATATATATATGGTCCATAACAAGTAACCATTCAGAATACAGATACAATTTTCCAATTTCTTATTAAATATATATGTACTGACCAATGAAAATGTAATACTGAATGATAACTGGAGATCTATTAATCAGCCAATAAGAAGCAGAAGAAGAATGAGTATAACTATAATATACAAATGATGTAAATAATCTTTAGGAATGGTTTAATATTTCTTATCTCTATTATCATATACTAAATGACTTTAATGTTTGTTTTTATTTTGTTACTAAGGCTCAACTACAAATAAATCAACATATATTCATTTAAAACTATATACTGAATCATTTAGATCACCATCCAATTGGAATAAAAGAAGTTTAATCCCGGTTGATCAGCAATCTATTTTATTTGATAAAGATTTAATTCTCCTTCATGATAAATTGGATATTGTTCCAGGAAATTCTGAAAGAGAGAAAGTATCATTTCAAATTCAGATTGATATTGAATATATTCAATTTCCAGTTACATATTCACATGTATTTCAATCCGTATTATTAATAGTATATATCAAAGATTGTTTTACCGATTATTTATTAAGTACATCACTTACGGCACAAAATAACGTTGCATTGTCGAAAACATTAAATGCATATCAGAATAACACTATGTTGAAGGAATATTTACCAAGTCGTATGGAATCATTACGTGCTGACAAAATGCATTTACCATTTGTTATTACTTGTCTAATAATTGGTCTTTCTTATATCATACTTTTAACTATATATGCCATTTTAAAATTATGTCAAGGATCTAATAAATTTCATACAGATAAAATAATCCATGGTTCAACAAGTTATATGTCTAATAATGAAACACAGCAAAGGCGCTTTTCATCATTTTCAGGCTATTCTACAACTTTATTAAACAATTATCACTGTACTAGTTCACAGTCTCAACTAGCTCGTTTAACATGTCCTCAGAAATTTTGGATTATGATCTATTTATGTTTTCGGGTGTTTTACACTTTTCTGTTCACTATTAGTGTTGGGTTATCATTTATTCTAAGCATTGAAACTGATGCTACTGTGGAGTTTACTTCAGCAGTACATAATAATCACTTTGTTACAATGAATTCATTCAGTAATTATAATGGAAATATTGGCAATAGATTAAGTCTACCATCAGTGATGAATACAATGACATTGACAACGGATATAGGCAATAGATGGCGTGGAGCTAAAGTATGGGTGTTAGAAGCTGCTAGAATGGAGGATTTCTCTCAAACTGAATTATTAAGACAGGTAAGTATAATACTGGAGAATATTTTATTTTGTATAATGCGGTGATTGATTATCTTATGTTTATATTTGGTGAAAAGTGAATATGGCTTTTGGTTGAATTGCCTTCGTGATGAAAAGTTAAAAAATAGTAATGTCGACCTATTCTTAATATTCAGACTATTATGCTTCATATCTTTATTTCTTGGAACCAATTCTTTCTTACTGTACTGTGTCCTTGTACATAATCTTTCTTTTATATATTATTACCATTCAAGTAACTACTTCTATGAATTCGTTCATCATGTGGTGCTTATGAGGTGTGCAGCAATTTGGACCAATGCACATATATGCTTGGTTTGTTGTTGTATCTGACTGACTGTGACTATTTTGCTCAAAGTGCAAGTTGTATTGAAAATTATGTTATATTTGACATTGATTAGATTCAGAATAATGACATGTTTCTAATTAAAACTAGGTTTTATTTCTCGAGAGAATAAAAGATGATGTACACTCATTGAATATTTAGCAATTCTTGTTATGCTACACTATTCATTTGCTTGAGGACTGAACTACTAGCTCAGTTTAAAATTTATTATAAATCATATAGTATATACGAAATACTTTTTTACCTAAATTTGACTGGTTAATATTATTCAAAATGTATGTGGTTTTAGATGGTCGTGTGTGTAATAGAATCAGCAATTGAATAACGAGCTTTCGCATTTAAAGTCATTGGATTATCGAAACCTTCACGTAGGAAATCTTCTGTATGAAACCAAACGAAAATTTATCTAATCATAACAAATCAGTATGAACTTCTGTTTTGAGTTTGTAAGAAATGTAAAGATTTGTTCAAATGTTTTCATAAGTTACTGGGTTTTAAAACACAATTATTATTATAGAGCAAGGAAGTATGTCTATACTTTATTATACTCCTGATGGATTTCCAATGTCCGGGTATTTCTTTCGAAGGTTGGTACAAAGTCATTTTTGCCAAGAAACTTTATTTGTAATGTTTTAGGTTAGTTTAAGTTCTAATATAAATCTTGTAAAATATGATGAAATGTAATTTAAGTGCTTTTACACAGTCTTCTTATGATCCGAACTTGAGACTATAAACTGTTTTAGCGGATAGTCTATGACTTTAAATAGTTATATAACGTATAGCTAAGTACCTTTTCTGGTTAAGTAGCTGTATCCTGTATAAGCTGGATTTCTATTAATATTCACATCGCCTTATCAGTAATAAATAAAAAGAATCAGACTAACACTTTAAAATCTATCTGACATAAATTTTAGTAGAACAGGTTTCTAAAAATCTTATAAATATTTCATTATTTTATTTTTACGGTGGAATATCAATGACATCAGGAGGAACATAGAAACAGAAATAAACCAGATGGGAGTAAAAGGTTTATGGAAAAGATGGAAGGGGAAGCAGATGACTGTGAAGGAATAAGAGTATGAAGAAAAAAGGTTATGAAACATTAAAGTCATGGAAGAAGAAGAGGTCTTGATTGAGTGACCTGTGTTCACAAAGTGTTCGATTATTAAACTTCTTATTGAGCTATTTCCTCGTCTTCTTAACCACGCCACATAATGTTCTTCAATTCTTTTAGATAAAATGCTTATCCAATGACCTATATAAAACCGATTAAGTCATATTACATTCCTAAAACAGATAAACTGTTTGAGGTTCAATGGCCTAAACATTTAAACGTATCTAGTTCTCTATCCTGAAAGTTATCATCTATTTTACAAGGTATTATCAGTTTTAAATATTACAGAACACTTAAGATTTATGTGAACAGATACCCTGATTTCTCAAAATAAGCGATTCATTTTCAATAATAACTAAAAAGCTTGGTATAACGACCTACCTCCAAGGTTACATGTATATTTATAGTTAATATTGTTCATTCAAGCATCCATTTGTACTTATACAAATTATTGATGATTATACAATACCAGAACTAACGAAACAACAAATAGGTGATAAATTTTGATCAATAAACCTAACGGTTAATTAATTTTTCTAGCCTCAAATTAGTTTTCTTTATTTTCTACATTGACCACAACAACAAGAAGGTTTCTCATTTGGTTCCTTATAATTTTAAAACAATTATTAATTGATATGTCTATTATCATTAATATTGATGTTACCATAGCTATGAGGAAAATATACACATATACATACATATTTTGACAATGGTTACGTATGTATATTATTGAGTCCTAGTAGCCATATCATTGAAATGACTTCAACATATAACCAATTCGTTGAATTATTAATGTATATAAATGTTTGTTTTTTTCTGTTGTCATATTTTCTATAGTATACCTACTCATATTACCTCATAGTTTGATTGTAGGCTTACTGAGTTATCATAACAACAAAAAATCATAATCAGTAATTATAATAATAATATCAGGACTATTATTCTAGATATGTTTACGGATAAAAACATCTAATTTATCTCAGACACTAATTAACGTTTTCAATAGTTGAATTCATGAGTCGATGGCCATCGAAAACCTGGAAGCCGTGACCAGTGGAGTTCAATCCGTGTCAGGTGGAGAGAGGTATCTACCTCGAAAAATGGATGAATAGTTGCGCGATATCATGGATTAATCGAAGTTAGATATTATAACCTTTGGATGCCGGCTCAATGGCCTAGAGGTTGAGCATTCGCGCGAGATCGAATGTCTTGGGTTCGAGTCCCTCATGATGGATCGTGGATGCGATCTGTTGAGATGTCCCGTACTAGGATGAAACGGCCGTCCAGTGCTCCAAGATTTTCAATGGTGGTCTAGCTTATATCAATTCATGAATTCAACTATTGAAATTACTACAATCTTCACAAACCCCTATTCTAATAATAATTAATGTATCATTTATTATTTTTGTAGCTATATAAATACGTGTTATGTTCATGTTTGTCCTGGGTCATAGGCATCCTTTGTGACTGATGATTTCCTAGTGATACAATTATAAACAGTGAAAATCGGTTCTTCATTAAACTTTACTTGTTCTTCCATCTATAATGAGTGAACGAGTTTGTATTGAAAATGACAAAGTACAACACAACGCTTCAAGTATGATGTGTAACTGTAAAAAGAAGCAAAATTTATATCATATTTCCTGTGTTCTGATTTATATAACCTATTGGATGATTTCAGTGTTAACCTCCTCGTTCATGTCCAACGATGTTTGATGATAATGAAATTATAATCGGAGAGGGGTTTTGTGGATATTATGGTAATTTAATAGCTGAATTCATGAGTCAATTAAAGCTAGACCACCATAGAAATCCTGGAGGGAATGGCTCAGTGATCTAGAGGTTAATCGCTCACGCGCGAGACTGACAGGTTCTGGGTTCATGTCTTGCGGGTTAGATTCGGACGAAACGGCCTTCCATTGCTTCCAGGTTTTCCATGGTGGTCTAGCTTCAATTGACTCATGAATTCGACTATTCGATAATGATATAAACAATGAAAGACATTAGATTATGAATCCAGTTGAATTATCAAATGAAAAAAGCAGTTCTCAAATGTACTTTTTTCATAGATCTCAGTAGCTGAATGGAAGTTCATAAACTCAACTTTCAGACAAATCTTCGACATGAATAAGCATTCTATCAATTCAATTTTTGAAAGCTATGTACTTTAACCGATATATTAAAAATTCTTGTTAGGATCTACATTCCATTTGCAAAACATTTTATGTAACTAGTGTGTTGAGATGGAAAAAAATATTGTACGTTTATTTGAAAATTGTTTCTCAAACATCTACTAGATTAATAACAGACGGTAAGAATTTTACAGCGGGATTAATGAACTGTTGGAATTTCAACCTTTTATTCTCATAACTATGTAATTCAGAAGAATTTCAAGCTCTTCGTTAAGATCATTTACTAAAATTATAGATACCTAATTCTAAAACTACTGAATGAAATCACACAATGACTCAAGCAATTTGTTTTATATTTCACAAATCAGTTTTCTATAAACCCTTATCATCATTATATTCAATTAGTGTTGTTTACTTGTATATCTCAGAGTGAACATCCAGCTGACTAGTTCCAAATTGGACGAAACATGCGTACTTGATTCCTAAGTTAACCACTATCCATCATTGCCTAATCATCATTCTTTTTTTTTAAAAAAATATTAAATTACATTTAATAACGACTTGTAAGCAAACATTCAATCTTCAATCCATAAGAATCAAGTAGCTAAATAACAAAATTTCATATAAAATTATGAACAACCTATAGCAACAATCAAGTTTTCCTTTTATGGCCTTTATTTCCCCCAAAAAATGATTTAATGATTTTTCAGTTTTTTTTTTAATTACATTCATGATTACATATGGAAGTAATAATTTGTCTGAAATTTATTAAAAATCTCATAATATTACTTAAACAGATTCAAAAGATTCTACATTTAATGTTCATCTAACCATTCTAAATCTAATTTGTTTGTACTTGTGTACTTCTGTTTGTCTGTGTGTAGTTCACTACGTAGTTTTTTTCGGTTTTTTTTTTTGAAACTTCACAACAAACCATTAGGAGATGAATAAGAAGTGTTAAAAAAAAAACATCTTGCCAACTAGACCTTTTTTAAAAAAAATTTATGTGAAAAATTGTTTTACAAATGAAATTCGAATGTAAATGAAACATTTTAAGTAATAAACTTGTTTTGTGTTTAATTTACGCTTAACAATCTATGTTTATATATATACACTTACGTAGTTACTTACTTACGCCTGTTACCTCTAGTGGAGGAGAATAGACCTCACACCATTATTCCCTATCCAACCCTGTCCTGGGCAATCCCTTCCAGTTCTTTCCAGTTAACATTAATCCTTTTCATATTTGTTTCTATTTCCCGACGTAATGTGTTCTTTGGCCTTCCTCTTTTCCGCTTCCTTTCCGGATTCCAATTTAGGGCTTGTCTCGTGATGCAGTTTGGTGATTTCTTTATTGTATGTCCGATCGACTTCCAATATCTTTTCCTAT